GCGTCCACTTCAGTGAAAATCATGGTTCGTAGTCGTGTACGTAAAATCCAGTATTACCAGCCAAATATGCTCATTGCATAAATCACTACACGTGTGACTACTAAGAATGCACTGTATTTTAAAAATAATGGCCCCATAAAATAAAGTGATTCGGCTACTGAAAAAAATATAAATGATGACCAGGTAACCATTTTATTCGTTCTTCTAAGATAGGTTTTGAAACTATTCTGTGTATTAACTGATTCTCTGACATTTGAAACACCCAAACTATTAATGGTTAAACATAATTTAAACACAATCCTTTCTATATAATTTACACATTCTTTATAACCGATTTTAAAAATATTCTAACCTTCCTCAATATACTTCTGTCCGTATATAATTTTCTATGTCCTTACAACTAATGCCCTAAGGGTACAAGCTCAATTGCAATACCTGTTTATATTCCATGTGATATTTATTAATAGACTTAATGACTAATGACTAATGTACAATTCATCTTAAAATATATTTTAATATAGCATTGACAACAAACATATATTTCATGCCTATTGATAATATACGCATAATCAAAGACACCCTGTACCTATTGGATAGACCATCCTTAAATTACTTCCCATTCGCTAATTATTATTTGAATGTCAATTTAATGTAATGCCATTCCAAAACACCAGTAATATTATTTACATTCTACGTATATACATGTACATCAGTCAGAACACATTCTATTTTTGATATGTATAAGAGAAATCAATTCCCCGTTAGAGAAATATCGTGTAAGGTATGTTATATTGGAAATTGTAATTTTGAAACAAATATTTTCTATCTAAAAACAATTAAACTTATATTAAACATGTGTTTCATAATTCGATGGAAATAATTGTTACTGTTTTCGAAATAAATGTCAAATCGTATTTTTAAATTATATTACATAAGTATGAAAATTATTTTAAATTTACAGAAACACACCTGTATTATACAATTTATTGTATATATTGTCTTTTATATTATTAGTTCTCTAAATATAATGCTATTTAATAAGTTAATGTGAAGTAAAGGCATTGATAATATTGAGAGTCTTAAATGTACACTTAGACAATTAGTTAATTTAGGGATTTGTTGTTATTTAACTTAAAGTATGTATTTTTAATATGTATATAACAATTTAAATTTTATTTTTCGTCGAATAAACTAGAAATGTATATACAAATAAACAAATAGTTTATGTATATAGAATTAAGTAAATAAATTATTAGCCAGGAGTGGAATTATATTTAAAAAGTGCGACCGGTTTCGAATTGAAAATTCATCATCAGGTATATACTCGTACAAAAGTCAATAAAATCGTGACTTTTATTAAGTTGATTTGAGTGTATACCTGATGATGAATTTTCAATTTGAAACCAGTCGCAATTTTTAAATATAATAACATTGCAGGTCAAACATATACATTTTTTAAATTTATTTATATTTATAAACTATTCGTTTATTTATGTTTAATTATTAATTTAAGATTATTAATAATTTACTAATTTTTAATATTTCCTTATTTTTTATTATTTTATTGTTTAGAAATATAAGTTATAAAAAGAGAAAAATAAAATATTTCCTACAGAAATGAGCTCATAATAAAAACATTCAGTGCTGATATTAGAAATTTAAATAACATTGAACAGCTACTAGAAAGAAAACAAAAATAATTTACTCTATGCGACAATCAATCAATCAATATTTATAATTTTTCAAAATTTTTTTCCGAGTAAGAAAAAATGTAGTTAGCACTTTTAAATTTAAAACACAAAACTTGACAAATATGACCCATTTTATAAATATAAGTATATTTATATACGTTCATACACCCGTACACATTTTATATATATATATAGATATTATATATATTGTATATAAGTTACAAGAAAGGCATCCAATGTCGTCATAATTCAACGGCCATAGGAAAAACGTTTAGTAGAAAAAGAAAAAATAAAGAAAGAAAAAGAGAAAAACAGGAACCGCGGGTGGAGAAGTTGGCGAGAAACTTTATCAGTTCAAAGTGGTCCAGAAAATACGGGTGCGACTATTGATTGTTGCCCATACGACATCTGGCGAACTAACGCGAAATTTCGTCGGTAGGAACCGAGTTTAATTATGGGCCGTCCCGACGACTTTTACCGGCTTTTCTGTGGCAACAGTGGGTCTGAAAAAATAACGAAAATGCCAACTTTACTGGGGAGTTTGATAGGCTAAGTGGAGAGGGTGTCATAAGAATAATTTATTAAAAGTAAAAGTTACCCCATGATAATAAATAACAACTTTATGTTGTGAAAAAAAAGTATGAAAATCTTGTCCAGTATAATCGTCCCACGGTGCTCCTTTTTGTCAGATGACATCTGTTAACAACGCAATTTCCTTTTGATATTGTGGTTAAGAACTCCTTTGTCAAAAAAAAATACCGTGTTATCAGGGGGGATTGCATTTCCACTTAATTTCTCGTCTACTGTGCATAAATAATATTTATAAATATAAATATACATATTGGAAACAGATATTTTTTGTTTCATTATGTGTCATTTTATTATTATGATGATTTATAAACGATAAGATGCATTGCCTGATAATCATGTTAATTTGTTCAAAAATCAAAATTTTCGTTTTATTATTATTCTGATTAAGCGATTTCTGACTAGCTAAATTATTCAGTATCGCCTGGTTGATATTTTATTATTTCATATTAGGGCAATTACTATTCAATGTAAAAAGTTGTTATGTTCAGAAAATCACATACCCGTTTTTTTATTCTAATGATATTTGTTTTTAATTATTTATAAACACAATATTAATTTACACACATTTCAAACTGAATTTATGAAAATCAATATTTTGAGCAAAAAAAAAAATAACTACTAAAACCTAGTCCCAAACTGTTTCAATGTTAAATAATTAAATTCCTTTAAAAATTCTTGATTTATGCACATTTAAAGTGTTCGATAAACTATTTTGTCCAATTTTAAGTTCATATATTTTGTCGTTTATGAGTTGAGTGTGTGAATAATATATTTATCGTTGTATGTGTTAATGACAATGTGTTGAATATAGGCATTGTTTTAAATCATAAGCATTTTATTCCCTTGTAGTGTTCAGCAATGTAATGATTTTAAATAATGCTTAAGCGAAAAATTCCTAAGATTTTTATAGAATAGCAATACTATGTTAGTTAAATTATACATTTTAGAATAGTTTTTAATCAAAAACTAATTTAATCAACTATACATTATTTTAATAGTTTATTTTGCATTTAATTATTGTAGCAAATAGTTGAAGTGTGATATTTTGAATTGCAAAAAATATAATTTTCTTCAGATAAACATTTTTTGATTTCACATTTGGTTTTGCATGTGCATTAAAAAAAAAAAAAAAAACATTTAATAATTGTGTGATGTTTTCTTTTTCTTCCGACCATTATTAAGTAGAAAAACTTCACATAATATTTCATCGTATTTCTCATTTGTAAGAAAAACGATATTTTTTAAAACTTTTTCAGATTTTATTTAATGCAATATAAAAAAATTCTGACATCTTTGTATAATAATTAATCAAAAAACACTGAATTGAAACATACATTTCATTAAATCAATAACATATTTTTTATCACTTTATCTGTCTTATTATAGCATTATTTTACCTATTTATAAATATAACTTGTTTATAAAAAATTTATTTATAATATCACATTTATGATTTTCAAACATAAAAATGTGTTTAAAATATAAATGTATGATACTTACGAAGGTACACTAAAATATAATTTTTTGTAAATTATATTCATTGCCTGCTCAAGGTTTGATTTTCTATAGAATTCCGAATTCATAAATTTGTCGTTAACAAATATATATATATATAATATATTATATAAACATCTGAATGAGTTTCAATATACAAACTAACCGAATATCTGTAAAATTCCAATAAGATATAATAGTTAGACTAATAATTATAAATTATAAATTAACTTATTAAAAGTTCATATGATTGAATGACAGTATACGAAAACAATTTATGGTAATTGCATTTACTCTGCGATTGATATTGACGCTCACTCAAAACGCTGTCACTTTGGCCAGTATTTCATTACACTAATTACATTGGATATACCTAATGTAAAAATTATTTCGCAAATATTGAACAAAAACACAAAAGCCCGACTAAAAACACGTTTTCCAAAATTATAACTGAGCCATAATTTACATCATAAATGGATTTTTGAATTTTACTAACTAATTTTGAATAAAAAAAACTATTTATGATATAATGTATCGATCAGCGTTATACAATTTGTTATTCAATTCGTGTGCGTTGAAAATTGATTAAAAATTATATAATGTCTATACGAGTAGTATTATAATTAAAGATACAAATTGTTTGTGCATACTTCGCTTTAACCATTGAGAAACTATCTATTTGCAAACTTGTCAGCACTACAGATTAACTTATTCACTGTACAAATAATATATTTCATATTTCTCTGATCATTTTTACCATTGTATCTTGAATTTAATCTTAATTTTGTTAATTTCTTAAGAAAATATTAATATCGAAACTGGATAAACAGAGTCATTTAATGATTTGGTGAAATGAAGTATGGTTCAAGCAATTACTTATATTAAAATATATAGGATAAACAATATTATTAATCAATATATTGTTAATCAAAACATTAGGTTTTCGTGGGCTTATTATACGAATAAAATTTGAAAAAATAAATAAAAATACTTGTACTCGTATTCGTATAATGTAACATGATCGTAAAATTATAGTACATTTCGTGTTTAACGTGGACTTTAAAATTGTTATTTAATGGAAAAATTTTTGAACAACTAGTGGCGATATTATTGTTGTAACGGTTTCTAAAAAAGTCGTAACACGTTCAAGTGCGCGTGTGACCGTAACATATCGATGTCGTTACTTACGTTATTTTTTATTTTTTTATTTCTATTGTGTTTCAGAAAGCGTTCAAGGTAAATTTGAAAGGCAGCTTTTGGATGACCTCCTAATGGAGTACAATCCTCTGGAGAGACCAGTATCCAATGAATCTGATCCACTCGAAGTTACATTCGGCATAACGCTACAGCAGATAATAGACGTGGATTGTATACTTAAGCTACACTTTATTCGATCGTAAAACGTTATATTGTGTGGAATTGGTTCAACGACGTGCAGTTCACGCAATACAAAAACAATCAAAAAAAAATTGTGTCGTCAATCCTTGGTCCGTAGTAGTTTTTAGCGATGAAATGTTTGTGTGATAAAAACAAAATTATCTGAAATAATTAACGATTTGCACGCGCTGCAATGATCCTTTGCAGCAACTCACAATGGCAGTGTATCAGCTAATGTTTAATTTAAATTTTATATAAGATTAAAAAACAACAATAGGTAACTGTTGTATAATGCCTACTTATAAAATATATACATAATAATGCAAATTTCACTGTAATATGCTTTTAAAATATAAACGAATTCTTGGAAAACATTTAAATTATTAATATCGGGGCACATTTTAATGACAATCTTCAGCATTAATTTTTATCGCTTAATAAAGTATTCAACATATATGATAAAATATTCTCATTTTTATCAAATTTTGATTTGAACAATTTTAGTAATTCATATTCAAGTGTGTTGTATCTAAGGTTAAACATTTATTTACAAGGCAAATTATTTTTACATAGGTACATTTAGTCCTTAAGTACGAAATTATGTATCACGAAAAATAATAACACATTTTGTGGGTATTGTTTCGATAGAAACAAAATGTAAATCACTATGTTAGGTATAATGATAATATTTTGAAGTTATAGTTTATATATATATATATATATATATATAATTTATAATTATTTATACGTATTTATTATTTATACGGTATTCAAGTAATTTGAAAACAATGGTAATGGGTTTATTATATTGTAACTTTCATACTGAAATGTAAATGCCGGTGAACTATAAACCATTTAGATGTATTGAAATACTTGTTTATGAATATTAATTAATTTAGTGAACTTTTAATTTAATTTAACTTTTCTGCAAATAAACAAGTTAATTTTATGTCTGTGAAGAAAGGTTGTACATATATTGTATATTTAGATATCTATAGTGGTCAAGGGTCAGTCATCTATTATCCAAAATAATATTTGGCAAGGTTTTGTACTTAGAGTCGTTGAGGTAATGTAATTTTCATCAGCAATATGACATTATATTTTAATTTATGAATAACTTAGAAAATTAAAAATTATAATATAAATATAATATAAACATATATAATATAAATATATATATCAGAAAAAAATCGAATTAAATCACCATTTATGTTTTACATTATTAATACATATATTTTTATATCATTAATTTAAATTATTCGACCATAATTTAATGTAGGAAAAGTTTAAAAAAGTATATACAGTTTTCAAAAGCTCGAACTAAAATGTTTTTTTTTTATCAATATTTAATATACTATAATTTATTTATAGTAAAAATGGCATATTTAATTAATACGAACACTTTTAAAATTAATCTTCATTTGTATTAAAATAAAAGGAACACCCACATTGATATACAGTGTGTTCAACGATAAAGGTAACACAAAATATTTCGAACGTATGACCTTCTATGCAATTTGGTTTTTTTTAATGCATAGAGGATATAAAATTAGATTTATTTTTGATAAATCTTAATTTTTAAAAAAAAAATTCTGCGAATGCGAAACAAAATAATTTTTTTTTTAAAGGCACCCCCATTTTTGAGTTCAAATTTGAATTATGTGATTTTTTTTAAGCAACTTTGACCTTTAAAGTTTTGCTCTATCTTCAAAATTGACTGATTGAGAAAGAGTTAAATTTTCGATTTATAACATTTGTATTTATCGTATTTTTCAATACTCTATTTAGAGTTTTACAAATTTATAAGTGATTTCGTATGAATTTTTCTTTAAAATTAAGTGTACTGTCATAAGTATAAGTAATTTACATTACTTCCACAGAAATTTAAACTCAAATTTCTTGTAAATGGTATAATTTTGGTTAATTTAAACCAACACATAAACAAACTAACACATATTCTATTATTTTAATTCAGTTTTAAAACAAAAATTTGAACAATTAAATTATTTACAGGGGAGTTCTGATTAAATTTTACAATTCATTGTATACATTTTTCAAATTTATTACCATTATTTGCAATGCATGTTTCACACCGTCGCAATACTGTTTGTCGCAGAAAGTTCCTCGGTTAACTGTGCACACGCAATAATTATTTTATTTTTCAAATCTTGAAGATCATTTGGTGGGTTAGAATATATTTATAAATACTAGGCTTAAAGGCTAGAATAAGATAATTTAATACTTTATCAAAATCCAAATTTTGTTTTAAAACTGAATTCAAATAATAGAATATGTGTTAGTTTGGTTAATTTATTTATGTGTTAGTTTTAATTAACCAAAATTATACCATTTACAAGAAATTTGAATTTAAATTTCTGTAAAAGTAATGTAAATTACTTATACTTATGACAGTATACATAATTTTTAAGAATAATTGATATAAAATCACCTTTAAATTTTTAAAACACTTAGCAGACTATTAAAAAATACAATTAATACAAATATTATAAATTGAAAATTGAACTCATTTTCAATCAGTCAATTTGAGGATAGAGCAAAACTTTGAAGGTCAAAGTTGCTTGAAAAAATGCACATAATTCAAATTTGAACTCAAAAATGGAGGGCGTCAATATTTAAAAAAAATGTATTCATCAAAAATGTCCTATACACATTACAAAAAACCCGAATTGCATTCAAGGTTATGCGTTTGAAATATTTCGTGTTACCATTAACATTGAACATACTGTATAGAGTACCTACTCACATAGAATTGCGATTTTATTGATTTTGTATATACTTGATGATGAATTTTTAATTTGAAACCAGTCTTAAAAATACTTATAATAATATTCCAAAATACGCATTAATTAATTAATATATTTCTAAATATAAACTATTTATTTATAAATTAATTTACGAGTAATTATCATTTACTAATTTTATTTTATTTATATTATTTTATTACTAGTTATTACATAATTTTATATTTATCTTGACTAAAAAATGTAAATAGTTCTTAATGATTATATAATAACGATTTTGAATATTATTTAAAAGTGTGATAACTATTGAATAACAATTATACTTGAGATTTTCAAAAACTACTGTTGTAAAATAAAAAGAAATTCAAAATGTAATTAAATAATATAATATTGATACGAATTGATGTATTATTCATGATAAATATATTACACATATCAATTATGACAATATATTACATGCTATTTTAAAGTCATTCAACTTGGTATTTAAACATATGAAATAATATAGACTTCAACAAATTCTATAGGTTTTTGATAAATATGGACAATTAGCTATTTGAAGTTCAAAATAACTGGATCGAAAAATGTAAAAGCTTTATAGCACGCAAACAAAGACTTTTTGATAAATTTTCTCTTAATAACAATAACGTAAACACAGCTCTTATTTCCAACTCATAATAATTTGAATATATCACATATATTTTTTGAAATAGAGAAATATCTTTCGTTATAATACAATGTGTAATAGGGAAAATGTTTTATAAAATAATAAAATAATATATTCTAAAATACAATAAATGTCAAATTAAAAAAGTAACTAAATTAAATATTATGCCTTATGTTAATATTTAAAAATCTATATGTTAATATTTAATTTCTATTTATAGTATACAGTGTGTTTTCAATATGGTAAAAGCTTTAATTCCTATTGAACAGTTGTTGTTAATCAATGTTATCATATTATAGCGTAACCTTTCTTCCACAAACTGCATAATAAATTATTACTATAATTTAAAAATATATAAAGTTTGCTGGAAAAAAAACTAATGGAAATTATTTGAATTTAAACATTAATTGAATACAATTGTTTTATATGTCTTTAAATTTTATTTGAAATTTAAAATATAAATTTCATATTTCTTATATGAACTATACCAATGTTTAATTTGTATATTTATCTATACAACACTATCTAAATTCTATATATATTATAAACATATATGTATATAAATATATGATATATATTTATGCTATTTAAGTGTTATATATAACAAATATAAAACGTAGAAATACTCATGTCAATAATTAATTTAATGAGAATGAAATAAATTATATAATTTTATAACTTATATATTTTTTATTTCATTTGGCAAATTATTTTATTTTATAAGTTATCTTATAGTTCTTCGAACCACTCTCAAATTATATTATGGTCGTGTAAGTTTTTTATGTATAATACGTAATTTTTATTTAAACTACCTATATTTTGAAAATTGATTTAGATATAATAATAAATTTACTTTTTTAAACAATCAAAGTAAAATATGACACACACGTAGCAGTAAAAACCGACTTTATTTATCAAGGCAATACAATTGGAAGAAATAAATTGAAAATATATTGGTATTAATTTTACACTAAACTTTTCAAATTATTATTTTGTTACATTTAATATAAAGTTTGAAAAGAAATTTTAAATTCTATAGAAAACTATACCGTTTAACTACCCATTCAAAAGCAGTGAGTACAGATTCGTTTCGTGGAGCCTTCTGGCACTACTGGATTTTCGTCTGATAGTTTTAATTTGAAGAAGAGTTACAGAACTTCCGAATTTGAAGTCTTATTATGTTAATGATTGTAGGTTGTCCAAACAATAGTAGTTACAAATAACATATTTTAAAAATGTAATTTAATATTAAATTCTAACTATTCTATGTAGAAAAGCAACCGTGATATTGTTAAAATTAAAATATTCACTCAAATTATTTCCAAAGATATTGTTGAAAAAATTAAGATTCCTTAATATTGTTATGAACATTTAAGTATGTGTCCGAAACTCAATTAATATTTATTAATAAAGTCGGTTAAATATCAAAATAATATTACTATGAAACTTACATTTGAAGATATCTGTTGAAAATTTAATTGTTTGTAAGTAAGATATATTTTATTTTATTTTAAATTAAAACTATACAATATTTGGGTACTCTGAGTATAAACGATGAAGGATACGAGTCGTTAATAAGCTCGTTTCACATATATACGCATTAAGGAATCTGATCAGTAACAAAAATATTTTATGGCCTTTTACGTACGTTTTTTACAATATATTTTGTTACGTACTAAAATCCCATCAGTTAAATAGATTTAGAAAACCTTTTCAAAATGTAATATTCAAAAATAGAGAAATTATAAATCTCCAAATTTATCATATAATTTAAAATTTAAATTAGTTTATTCTTTAAGCAGGTTAAAAAATATAATGACCTATATCCGATAAAATGTATATAAAAATATGTTTTAAATTAAGAATTATAAATAATTAAAGGAAATATTTACTTTCAATTTTATCCATATATTTAGAACGATGTAAATATTCATTCAAACCTACATACAAAATATAAACAATAAAAGGGAAACAAACTTCTTTTATAATTCTATATTTGTAACCAGGGGCGCATCCAGGATTTTTTTTAGGGGGGGGGCTAAATTTAAATAATTTTAATATTAATAGGTAGTATTTATTTTGAAATATGTACAGAAATCTTAAAGCTGCACACAATGCTGTTCTTCAGAGTTTTCCACAGTGTAAAATAGTTTGCTGTAAATCCCATTTAGAACAAAGTTGGTTCAGACGTTTGCAGAAAAATAAAAGTTTATTTAAAGAATACTCAAATGATTCTTAAGTAGGAAGATGGCTTAAATAAAATAATTGATATACTATAGTTGATAATTTTTTTTATAATAATTTAAAGTCAAATGTTAATTATCAATAAACCTAATAAAATTATCATAATGTTTGGGGCTAGCCATTATGGGGGGGGGGGCTAAAGCCCGTTAGCCACCCCCTTGGGTGCGCCCTTGTTTGTAACATTGAAATTATAGATTAAAGTAATATGATTATTTTATTTGAAAATAAATAGTTTATTTTATTGATGATTAAAAAATACATTTTAATCATTATTGAGTAATTTTATTCTAATATCATTACTAATATTTTTAATATGGTATTTTTAGGATGGAAAAAAATCAAATTGTCATAACAAATGCTTGGTTGAATATGGTAAGTACCTACATTTCTTATTAATATAATAATTTTATGTATGAACGAATTAGCTTATAAATTCTATACATCGATGTATATAATTTTCTTTTTTTGTTTAAATTAACAATGGGAGAATATTTTATTACATTATTTTTGTATATGTTACTTTTTATTAACTTATTATTATAAATTTCAAAAATGACGATAAATATTAGTGTCAGAAAAATAATGTTAGAATAAATTACGATAAACTATCTAATGTTTGGAAAAATGTTTTTACAATTAAATGGCACTTATATAAATACATTTAAGATTTGAATATATGTTTGAATGAACATTATTATATATACTAATAACTTATATAATACTTATATCAATATTATAAGGAAATGACTTGTAATAAAATATTACCTAGATATAATTTAATGAAACTATAAAATAATTTCATAATAATAAAGTATTTATATATACTAATACAAATCATAATATAGATATATTTTGATTTTTAAATTTTTTTTTTTTTTGTTAAGTAATTTCTGTATCCAATGCAATAATAACCAGACTATTATTCTTAAAGACTCAATAAATTAATGAGTGAAATCAATCACTAAATACTCGGATGTTTACATTTCAAGTACAGCTGTACGGTTGACCTGAATAAATGACCCAACTATTCGGTTGGCTGACGGTGAGTTATTCTGTCAAGCTGTGTGCCTTAAACTTTATCTTAAATAATTAAAATATTAAAATAACTTATCTTTAAAATAATTTTTAAAAATTATTTAAAAGTTGTGAACTAAATATTTAAAATTTTTACTTTGAATGTAGGTCCTTTGCATATAACCACAAGAGTTTTCAGAGGCTTTTAAAAAAATTCTAGAATATGACTGTAAAGTGAAAAAATGATCGATTTAAAAAATCTTATATTGTCAAATGTATAATCTTAAAAGGATACAAATAAAAGTTTTCAAGATATTTTTATTCTTGTAAAATTGGTTGAATAAAAAAGAAACACATCGTTTTATAATATAATTAGTCAAATAAATAAGGTACCAAAGTTTTGTTTATTTCTGTGTAAAACTTTTCTGCTGATTTAAAATAAATAATCGAATTAGTTTTGTAAAGAAAGGTTTATCCTCTGTGAAACTGGCTTTGCTTCATTAGCATATTTTGTTCTTTTTTTGTTATTATTACAAGATTTTCTTACCGTTTTGCTTATTCATTCTTTATTACTTTATTTATAACTCAATGCTTTTAAAATTACTAATGAAAATTAAAACTTCACATTAAAATATTTTATTACTTTTATTTGAATTTGATATATTCCACGTGTATATATCGACTAATGAAAAAATACTTAAGTATAAATTCTTATGACATTTAAATGAGTGTGCTAAAAATTACTCATACATTTTATTACCTAAATAAAGACAGCATAATAAGTGATATTTACAAAAAATGAACAGAAATTTAAGATAAAATAAAATGTATTATCATGTTAAATTCAGTTCAAAATTCCTAATAGCCCTACACGATAACTACTTATTTCGTTTCAAATTTCATGACCATCTCACTTTTTATTGTAAATGTATGGTCTCCTTTGTAAAAAATAATATAATCACATGAACCATAACAATAATTATAATCTAAAGACAGTTTAAGCATAACTCATTTTAAATAGCTATAATGTTTTAAAAATATTTAATCTATAATTTTCAAAGTCAAACATGCCATTTTATAAATCATGTTTTGACATCGTACTACTACATATTAACATTATTTTACACCGAGTAACCTTAACATGTGTAAAACTCGTGTAGTAACATCTTCTAGTTACTTGTTTTGGCACAAATCCATTCAATTACACGTGAATGTGATTTTGGCTGTTGATTATTTTCACTGAGCATCGTTGAGATGAATTGAATTTTCTCAAATGCTTCTGATAATTTTCTATTTAAAAAGTTGCTCGTATAATGTAATAAATCAGAATAAATAATATACATCACAAAGGAAATGACAAAATATAGACAGCTTAATTTTATTTCGTAAAAAAAAAAAGACATTCGTACGTTTGAACATCTTGAAAAGTGTTTAACTATGAGCAAATAGAAAATGAACATAAACGATACTAGTTACGAATGTGGAATGAAATGAAATCAACTTAGGTGAAACATAGATTAAGTATTTACTGTGTACTCGAACAGTGTACGTATACAACATAATGTATAGTTTATGATCCACGGTATTCCGATTTATTGAAGGCAATTCACTATATTACTATAAGACTCCCATTATGGCAATTACTCCACTATTGGAAAAATTGATCGCATCATACTTCACACAACTAACCACTTGAAGGTGAGGGGAATGAAATCGATACTGAACCGTGGAACCTAAACGATTAGACCGAGCAAAAAATATATAATATTCAAGCACAATGTTACTCCAAGAAATTAAATCCTATATTGGTTGAATTGTAATGGGTTAATTATTTGCATTAGATGAGAAATGAAGATCTACTCAATAAATATATTAAAATATGAAAATGGGAAATTTATCTCGAACTCGCACTTTGGTGCAATAATGCTAAACGATGTTAATTAACAAATAGTTTTAATACGTTCATCTTATTATATTATACAAATATACTACGAGATACAATTGTTTGCAGGTCACATCTCCAAAATGATTCTAATTTCCAACTTCATAACTCTGGAATAAGACTGTATAAGGAGTAGAGAATATCATTAACGTCTAAAACACGATCGCTCCACACCCTTCCATGCCATTTATAATTTCAACACACAAATAACCACTAATGCATCATAATTTAAAGCATTTTACTTTTGCGAATCGTGACATTTGTGTTAGTAATATTCTGTATTATGGTTGTATGGTATACACCTATAGTTCAGATTCTCCTTTTACTAATGCGAGTTTAACTATAATTACGCTTAAAATTATTTTTAATTGTATTGAAAATAGTATTTGATCTAGGAAATATTCCATAAATTATAACTTAGATAACTTATAAATTAAACTTTATAAAATAGACACTGTTTATTTCACACATAACAGTATAATCATATTAATACTATGAAAATAATAACTAGTTTATAGGTCCTGAAATAAAGTATATATATGAGCTTATACACACTTGTCATAATACATTAAACCCGGAAATTAAATTGGATATTTGCCCTTAACAATATTATATTTATCTATTAAGTTTCGTTTAAAATTTAAAATGAGTTAGAACTAATAACATAATTCGATGCATAATATAATCTTTTAGAGTATAATAAATGTAATGCGCACTTTACATTAAATTGTAGATTAAAATTATATTCAACTACATTTAATGAAGTTATTATGGCATCTATGACTGAAAAGTATTTATTAATTCACTATGATTACTATCCACAGACTTCAGTTATGAGAGAGTGTCAGAGGCCTAAATAAATCGTTTATATAAGCTAAGATTTAAATCCATAATATTTAATTCGTATAATAATATAACAATGTAATAAAATTAAATAAGAATTATTCCCGATGATCTAGTGAATGCGATTTTAGACATATTTCTCTAATTTATGGTGAAAGGGCGATTATTTGACGTACTAAAATAAATTTTTCCATTGTAAAGTAATATTTATTTTTGAAAGGAAGCCTCCACCCCTATGTTATCTCTTTCTTACAAACGTAACACAACAAAGTAAGTCAGCGTTTAGAGAAACCAATTGTGAGTTTTTACATTTAATATTAAAGTATTATTATTAAAATATTATAATATTATTATTAAACTAGACCACTTATAAAATTTTAAAGATAAAACATTATCTGTGCATTGATTTAGGTTTTTATGATATTTTAACACCAAGTTAAGGTCATGCGAAATGTTAAAATTTAATTAAATTCATACTTTTGTTTAAAATACAAATTTCATAAAAACCTATGTTATGGCACAGATGATGTTCAAAACTTTAGGTTTTATAATAAGTCACTTATTTTATGTTGTACGTTTGTAATACGGAAACAACACATGTGGGTGTGGTATTCTCAAAAATAAATACCCTAAGATAGCAAAATACTTGTATAGTAATTTTAAAAGAATGCTATCTGATTCAACAGATTTTTTCGATTCTTCGAGTTATATAAGCTTAGTATATAAAGACCGTTATTTTATTTATTTTTAATAAATATAATAATTTTTAATAATTTAACTTCTTATACTGTTTAGTTATAAAATCAAGAGCAATGTGAATAGCGTACACACATTATGTTTGTTTTTGACGTATACCAATGATGATAATACTTGGTGTTTATATTATTTGTTGGAGTACATTCTCTTTGAAGTTCAATACGGGTTTCATTTTTTTATTCTACGATTGTTTTACATTGAAATATAATAATTTCACTTAAGGTTATTTTTATTATTTTATTCTTAGTATTGTAATTTATTTTTTATTTTTTATTAAATTTTTGCTTTTTTGAAAATATGTTAATTTTGTAGTTTTTTCAGAAAAGTTCTACTTATTGTATGAGTAATTCAAATGCATATATGAAATAACGGATCAAACATTACGTTATATACGTTATTCGGAAAACATTTGTTTATTTTTTGCTGACATTTTTCCATTTTTCCACTGATAATTGAACGTGCGTGAAGTTAGTCCCCCGACATTGTCTGATCTACTTCGGACCAATGCCAATATTTTGTAACTCATTTGTAACTATTTGTAACACATTTTTCAGAATTTGTAACTCCTTACTTTGGGCGCTATAAAATATATTTGATAATATTAGTTTTGCTAATCAATAAAAATGGTAAAATGGTGAACGAGTTTCGTACAAATTCTGAAAATGGTCATACAAATTCATACAAATTACGTACTAATTATTTGCAAAATAAATTTTTGTAAAAGTGTATTTTTATTGATGGGAGGGACTGAAATAACGTTATTCCAGCCCCTCCGGCGAAAAACGAATTTTTCTCGGTGAACAAGTTCCGTAAAAAT